CAGGGATATTTTTGAGATTGTGGAATTCTTGGTGCTCTCTGAGCTTATTTGCTTGCAGACATCCCATTATCTGATTAGGTAACATCAACAGCACTAATGAATGTGGTTTGCTCTCTGTTTATATACAGTAGCTTGCCCTCCCCGTGTTGGGGGATGGCTTCTCCTTGGTGGCTTGTTGATTAGAATATTTCTTATTTGTCTGGTGTAAATCCCTGCTTATCTGAGTGTATGCTGCTGGAGAGGTTATGTTCTGGTCTTTTTGTTTCCTTAGCTTTTTTATTCTTTTTTCTGAATGGTGTGTAAATGTGATTTATCTCTATGTGTCTACTGTTGGCTGATTTGTCTGAATGCCAAGCTTGCAGGAAACCCCTAGGGTTTTTGGATTTAGCTTGGTCTTGGATTCTCACAATTTTCCAGACAAGCAATCAAACAGAAAATGGTACCATAATCAAAGAACTCCTAAGGAGACAGACCATCAAACAGCCAGTCCAGCAGAAAACAATACTATTAAAGGAACTATCAAGGAAAAAACCCATGGCCTCATCCCATCAACACTGGCAGGGAAAGTTACTATATATAAATAGAGAGCAAAGCAGTGGTGGGATTCAAAATTTTTTGCTACTGGTTCTGTGGGCATGGCTTGGTGGGGTGGGATGGCTTGGTGTGCATGGCAGGGGAAGGATACTGAAAAATCTCCATTCACTCCCCACCCCACTAACCTGCTTTCCAGCTCCGTTGTCTTGTTCAGGGCAACAAAAGAAAACCCAGCGATCAGCTGGGACTTGGGAGGCGGAGAATAGATGGGAGTGGAGCCAGTCAGAGGTGGTATTCCGAACTACTCAAAATTTCTGCTACCTGTTCTCCAGAACTGGTCAGAACCTGCTGAATACCACCTCTGGAGCAAACCAGATTTTTTCCCCTAACATATTTTTTTTAAAGAAAACTAGTGGTTTTGAGCAAAAAAAAAAAATGCCAATGCACTAATAATTAAACATATTTTCTTTCCTGATAGAATTCCACCTAAGAAAATAGACTCCTATAATTGAGGTTATATACAGGTTTGTATATAATTTTTAGGTCAAAGGCTAACATGGGGACATAAGGCGGATGAATTCTACAGAACTAGATAATGTTTCCTTTCACTTTTTTTTTAACCTTAAAAATACGAGTATCCCATAAAAACAGGGGTGGACAACGTATGGCCCTCCAGATGTGAGTGCACTCCAATTCCCCTGCTTTCCCCAGAAAACTTAAGGTGAGGAATCATGGCAGCTGTAATCCAGGAATCTCGGGAGGCGGTTCAGAGGTGATATTCAGCAGGTTCTGACCAGTTCTGGAGAACTGGTAGCGGAAATTTGGAGTAGCTCGGAGATACAGCAAATACCACCTCTAGAGATTTTACAGTATCCTTCCCCTGCCACGCCCACCAAGCCACGCCCACAGTAAAAAAAGTTTGAATCCCACCACTGCCCATGTTGTCCACTTCTGTATGAGAAGACATATACAACATCCTACAGAGGAAGCTGTTGAAAGAAAAGAACATCATTCACTTCTGAATGAGCATTTCTGGAGTCAGATCAATGCAGATGTCCTCCAAGGCAATGTTTCTCAACCTTGGCAACTTTAAACTGTGTTGAATTCAACTTCCATGCATGCTGTCTGGGGAATTCTGAGAGTTGAAGTCATCACATCTTAAAAGTTTTCAAGGTTGAGAAACTCTGCCCCAGGGGTTCAGGTTTCTCGATTCTCCACCTGATTCACTGGTATAGAGCTTCAGACCAATCAAGTTAGCTTCCCCATTTGTATAGTTTGCTTAATAGTAGTTGAATAGATGCCAAATAAACACCACATAGTAGCATCATTAACTAACACTAAATTTGCCTCAAGATACAGATAGCATATAAAGCAGCCACATGGCTTGGGGAGAAGTGGAATTTGCCAGTCTGGTAGTCAGAATCTGCAACGTGGTGCTGGAAAGCTTCAAGCCGATTGGCAGCTGAATTATTAAACCTTAATCAAGCTACATGGAATGGGAGATGGTTATTCAATAAAGCTCGAGCAATTCCAGCCTCAGAAGGCCTTACAGAAAATAAATCAGCCAACCATTTTATATACAAAACTGCCCTCAATGAGAGAAGGATGCAGGAAAATTAGGGTAATTAATAGCATAGGATTAATGTCCTGAATGCCAATGGGAAGGATTTCAGCTGAAGGCAGCAAAATGTATGAATTTTTTAAAAAGCATTTCAGGGAAACATATACCTTCTTTTCAACACTTAAGACTTAGCAACTGTGGCTTCCTACTAAGAGGTACACGGTTGTAAACATCAAAGAAGAGGATCAGATCATTCCATTGGCTCATTTCTAGCAGAACAAATATCACACCCGTCAAGGTTATGCCCTGCATGCAAACACTTGCATTTAGCCTCAACATCTTGAGAACTATTGCCGAGATGACTGAATTAAAAGGACCCATGATTTAATGTTATGTAAAGCAGCTCACTATAGTATGTAAAATGATTTTCTGCTAGACCCAACAAGATAAATCATAGTCAAAAACTGGGAACAACAACAACAAAACAATTCAGGCTTCAGATCTGCCACATAATTGTCTTCAAGCATTCTTTCTCCATAGCCTCACTTATACAACAGTTACAAATATTGAGAAGTACATGCGTGATGTGTTAGGACGCTAGAGGAAAGTATTACTAAATAATAAAATATTAAGATATCATGGTGTAATGCAAGGAGACATCTCATTCACATGTTTAACTTCAGGATGTCAGTTCACTATCTCTGGTTATGTTTATACATTTTGTTCACTTTTCTATATTTTAACAAAAATATGAATACCTTTTAAAAGCTAGGACCAATTAGTCATTAAAACAGAGGGACTAGTATACAACCCAGGAGAAAAAGAAGGAAATGCAAACAATATACCTTCCTGCTCCCCTCCCCCAACTTATGTGAACTGATAAGAGACATTTTTGTTTTGGGATGAGAGGTATGATGATCACTATGGTAACTGGACAGGGAGAAATTGCCTTTCCAAGTCTGAAAGAAATATTTTAGCATTTCAACAATGCCAGCTTAAGTGCTAGAAATCAGGAGATTCAGCATTATGTGATCAAAATGCATGGAACCAATATTTTTAAGATTCAGTGGAAGGCAAGAAAATGGATAATGTTGCCAGCATTCTGATGGTTAAAAACAAAGGAGATAACATATGGAAGACTATCCCCAGTCAAGGTCACCCACCCCACAACAGCTGGCCAGCTGTGATAATCAAGGATAAAGGAAGATAACTTCTACCTTACCTAATAATATTGGACAAATGGTTTATACCAATTGGGCTAAGAATGACTTTTGTAGAGGAAAGAACAAACAATGACTTCTGCCAGGGATTAACATCCTACAGAGAAGTGGAAAGAACCTACTTTTAGCATACAGTCCCTGATCATATACCACGAACCAGAAACAGATGTTTGTGTTTTTGTTGCTGTTTCAAAGTTGGTATTCAGCAGGTTCTGACCAGTTCTGGAGAACCGGTAGTAGAAATTTTGAGTAGTTCAGAAAACCGGCAAATACTACCTCTGACTGGAGATTTTACAGTATCCTTCCCCTGCCACGCCCACCAAGCCACGCCCACAGAACCGGTAATAAAAAAAATTGAATCCCACCACTATTTCAAACCATATACTCCTGGGAGGCAACCTTAATTGCTTCTAATTGGGAGGATTTATAGCAATAGCACTTAAGACTATATACTGCTTCAGTGTTTTACAGTGCTAAGTGCTTTACAGGGTCAGCATATTACCCCCAACGATCTGGGTTCTTATTTTACCAACTTTGGAAGAATGGAAGGCTGAGTCAACCTTGAGCCCCTCAGAATCCAACTCCTTGAGTGAGCGAGTTAGCCTGCAGGACTGCATTCTAACCACCGTGCCACTACAGCTCCTCCTGATTTATCATTGAAATCAGTGGGAGCTATGTCCAATGGACGTTGAATTTAATGCTCCAGTTCCAATTCCTGATGATCCCAAATTTATCAATTCTGCTACCAATTCAAACCTCAGGGGAGGCATGATTATACCTCTACTTTTCTGGAAACTTAATTCTGCATTGAAGAATCGGGAAGTGTAAAAGGCTCACAAACTTGATAGTTCTAGGTACATTGCTTTATTTTGATAAGAAAAAAGCCATATGCAGAACATCTACCTACTGAAAATCAGAAATTAAAACCCTTTTTGATTCAGATTTGGAATTTAAATCATAAGCCTTTTCTTCTCATCTGTTTGAATCAACAAACTATTCCATTCTTTAGACTGGAAGTCCCCTACTCTGACAGATCTGACTGGACCAAACTGTGCTGGTTCCTGCCTTGCTAACTTCAATCCTACCATCCAAATGCCTCCAAGTGTCTTTCCAGATTTTTCTAAGGCACCAAATTGGGAAAAGTTCAGGTAAGTAGGATCACATCTGAAAGATACCAGAATGGAAACTAGCCAGGTATTCTCCACTGATATCACCATATGAGTGTCCAGTGAAATCATCTTAGGAAAAAGAGAAAAGATAACCGAAGGTACATCCACTTCATGCATGCAAGGAAAAATATGGGAAAAAGAATAAAGTAACATAAAGAAAAATATCACAGCATAAAATTGGATAATTGAGAATACTGAGGGAACATAACATTAACCTTAAGGCTTAATAAAACAAAAAACGCAAAACAGATCTAGTCTCATGGCACCTAGGAGAGAAAAATAATTTGCTTAAAATAAATGAAAATAGATGACGTTCAGTTGTTAGAAGGTATGTATTTTAATGAAATCTTAATATTTCATATAGGCTGCAATGACACCTAGAATTGCTATTAGGAATCTTATTTAGTATAACCAAATTGCAACGACACTCATTTCCTGTTAAAAGTCAGTATGAAATGACTCTTCTTCTTCTTCTTCCTCTTCTTCTTCTCCTTCTCTTTCTCTTTCTCCTTCTCCTTTTTTGCTATTACAAAGTTTGGAGTTATTTGGCATTAAACAAGAATAGGCTTATTGAAAAATGACATTCTGCAATGACAAGACACTGCCCCACAATTGTCCTATGTCAAAAATGATGCATCAGTGAAGATGAAATGTCTCTGATGACATGCTCTTCAGCACACCCTTTTCAAAAGTATGTGTGAATTGGAAACTGGTCAATTAGCTGCATTTGTGTTTCTAATAGTACAATTTTAATCCAGGGAAATAATCTGCTTCACTGGCTGCTTCTTTTTCTTGTTAAAACTTTCCTATTAACCACAGTTATGAACTTCTGTAGCAATAGATGCAAACTGAGGGCCTGAGTGACATTATAAGCTTATCTTAGGCAGCACTCCCAAAATACAATCTTCTTTGAGAATATCTAGATTATTAAAACTGTGTTTAGCCCTTGAGGGGGTGAAACAAAATAGAACGGCTAAATGAATCCATATGAAATATCATATTTGAGTTCGAAAGAAAATACTTTTATGCATACAAATGGATGATGCGGGTTTTTTTTACTTTAAGAGTATTATTTATTTGCAATCGTCGAAAGCTGATCCCGAATCCTCCCTAGACCATCCAGCATAGTGTCCAATGTTTGTTTATTCAGCTCTACTGTTAATGCAGATGTTGCAAAGTCATTTCCACACAAGCCAGCATCATCTTGAATCTGAAAGAAAACCAGAGTTTTTAGTCACCCTAAATATAAAAGCAATCTACCCTCGAGGCACATATGACTTCTTCATTATTGCCTATTCTTCAAAAACAAATTGGATATATGGTTCTGGGGTGTAGTTTAACAAGCTCAAGGGTTTTTGTCTTCACTTACTGCTCCTTCTCCCTTCATTTTGATTTAATCTAATCCTGATTCAAAAAAGCTAGACAAGTTTCTTAGAAGAAGCCAAACAGCTGGTTTCTCTTTCCTTGTCAGGCTGCCATATATATTCTGGTTTTGTCTGAATGTGGTTTCATTGTAATGCAAAACAGTGTCTTTGCAGTAGCTATTAATCATTGAGTAAGTGCTTCTTCATAAGTCATAATCATAGGGATGGTAATACGTAAACAGTATGATTGATCCTGCCTTGGTGACACATATACCACTGAAATCAATGTGAAAAGTCCCATTCCTATCTAAAATCCTATTGATTTAAGCTAGCATTTAGAGCAATTAACTTAAACCTTGTTAAGACTTGAGTGATATAGTAACCACATTAAAGGATTTGCTGAATACAGTATTTTCAATGACCACAGAGTGAACAAGATGAGATGAAATCTGACATGAGTACAATCACCATTTGAGAACTTCCAGATTAACAGGAAGGTTGAAGATGAAGCTAGAATATGGATTTATTTTTTTTGCATTGTTACCACGTAGGAAACCTAGCTTTTTGGTTTATTTATGTTTTCTGAAGATACTACAGATAGTTCTTGCTTAACAATTATTTAGTGATTATTCAAACTTATGATGGTACTGAAAAAAGTAACTTATGATCCATCCTCACACTTACTACCACTGCAGCATCCCTGCAGTTATACGATTGTGATTTGGTGCCCTGTTAGTGCAGTAGTTAGAATGTAGTATTGCAGACTAACTCTCCCCACAACCTGAAATTCGATCCTGACAGGGCTCAAAGCCTTCCATCCTTCTGAGGTCAGTAAAAGGAAGAGCTAGATTGTTGGGGGCAATATGCTGACTCTATAAACTGCTTTAAAAGGGCTGTAAATCACTACAGAGAGGTATATAAGTGCTACTGCTATTGCTTGGCATATGTTGCTATGGTTACAGCATCCTGCAGTCATATGGTTGACATTTGTGATCTTCTCAGCCCTTTTCCAACAAGCAAAGTCAGTGGGTAAGCCAGCAGGGAAGATTGTAAGTGAAGGTCACATGATGTCTCACCGAGTAACCACAGCGTTTCGCTTAATGATCATGCCAAAAAAAGTTGTAAAATCAGGTGTGTGGTTAAGTGCCTCACTTAATGATAAGTTTTCCAGTTCTTATATGTGGTTGTGAACTCAAGGACTACTTGAATGACAAAACCACTTCAGACATACTATTTTTTTCACTTGCTGCCCCTTCCTCTGGTCATGTGGGCTTTGCAAAAATTTTTAGTGTCAACTGGAAATTAACCAGAGGAAATGAAAAACAGCCCAAGGAAATTATAATGTTATCACTGCCCTACACAGTATACAAGCAGAGAAGCAGTCTTCCCATTGGTGTATTATAGCTTGGCCGAGGCTACACTGTTCCATCCACAGATCAGTTTTAGAATTCAGACATTTATTAAGGCATTTATGACTTAATAGGTGCATGACACAGATCTTCATGGAACCTAACTTCACTCACAAATCTTAACAAACATTTATGCAATTTGCACCTTCATGCAGCTTATGCAAGTTCTCCATGCAACCTACCTAAGTGGCCACCATTATCATATTTCCCCTGTCTCCTTAGGGAATAATTTCAATGGGAAAAACAGCATACAAATGGAGATTTGGCCTCATAAACTTTCCACAAAATTTAAATTCCAGGCACTAGTTGACAGTCATTAGAACAGATTTTACTTATAGCAATCAACCAGAGATTTAATGCCTGCATAATGAGATAAGGCTGATGATTATTACACATCTTCAAGTTATGCAAGACCTGACTTATATACACACAATTTATGCATTGGCTGCAAAACTGATAGCCACATTTTGTAGATGTTTGTGGTATGAGAACTGACACACAGGAAAATCAACTAACACAAGCAATCCCTCCTCCCTCACTTGTGCATCTTGCTCCTTTCTTCCTCATCTTTTACAATAATTCTATTTTTGATTGTAATTTCCAGTTTTATTGTTTTACAAATATTTACCAGTTATGTTTGTAATGCTTTTAATGCTGTAAGCCACCCAGAGGAGTTATGAAAGGAAACAGGCAGCAAGTAAATTAAATATATAAACAAACATTACATAAATACATATATACATAAAACCTCTTTATACACTGAATGCGTGGCACACGGTCATGGGCAGTGCTCTGAGACTGGTTTAATTTGCTCTGTGCTATTTATTCATAAAATACTATCATCTAAAATGTTGTGTGTGTGTGTGTGTATGTATGTATGTATGTACGTACGTACGTACGTATGTATGTATTCATGCATAGGAGAGGAAAAACTATATCTCTTTTTAAGAACAAACAAATAACAGTGCATGAAAATGCATTTGACAATACCTTAAGTTGTAGCAGGCAGGTAGGAATAGCCATTTTGCTGATATTGTCTGAAGATGTCTTAATGTCTACTCTCCAATCCATATCTACTAGCCTTGGGAGGGAAACTGAAATTGAAAGGACATGGAATGGAATCAGTGAATGAATACACTGAAAAAGAGTGGCACAGTGGTTAGAATGTAGTACTGCAGGCTACTTCTGCTGACTGCCAGCTGTCTGCAATTTGGCAGTTCAAATCTACCAGGCTCAAGATTGACTCAGCCTTCCATCCTTCTGAGGTGGTTAAAATGAGGACCCAGATTGTTGGGGGCAAAATGTTGAGTCTGTAAACCAATTAGAGAAAGCTGTAAAGCACTGTAAAGTGGTATATAAGTCTAAGTGCTATTGCTATTGCTAATACACTCAAGTCTAAACTATCTCTCAACACACTTCTGTTTTTGGAAATCACCATCAACTACCACCAGGTTTGCTAAACAATTCCAGCATTCTTCAAAGATTTACCCGGATGAAAGCTGAAGTTCACCAACTTTTTGTAGAAGTCAAGCACTTACATTAATATGCTTCATGAAAATAAGCATATTTTCAGCTTATTAGCTTATTCAGCTCAATAGCAGAACACAACTTTTCTCAATTTATCACTTATAAATATATTCACCTGAAAAACCCATAATCAACAGCTACTGTCCATACTAAAAGTCCAAAACAAGCAGAGGGCTTTGGCAAGTTTGATCCGGTCTATTTCTCAGTGGGCATAGTGGATTTTCTACATATACAAGGTCAAGGTCTTAATTGATACCTCCAGGTAAAATTATTACGAATGTGATGTGAAAAATGTTTGCATTAAACCCAAGAGAGAATGTTGGTAAGTGGATAAAATTCAACCAATTGGACAACTTATTGGTAGCCATACATACGGAGTCTCATATTTATCATTCCCTAAGTGGATTTTCAGTTAAAGAATTAGAAAAAATCCTTGCCAGAAATCTTGAAAGCTGCTAGATATGACAGTATATATTACTAAATAAAGAACGGCAGATCAATAGCTTCGTTCAATATAAGACAGATTCATTGCACAATCATACTGCTCCAACTGTTTTTCTACTATCGTATGTAGAGTGGCACACAATATTATGCAAGGATGGATGTCAAAGATACAAACTATTATTTACAAAGTACAATTTTTTAGATTTTGTATCCTACTACTTGTAATAAGATAAATTACTTACTAAGGTGCCTTTCTGGGTTTCAATCCAATTCCCATTAACCAATGACAAAGAACTGGGGGAGGTGTAGTCTAACAAAATTTAGACACCAGGCTGACAACTCATGTTATAGACTATCTATATTCTAGGGAGAACCGAAAACTTGTTAAAACAGCATTCCCCCCCCCCCCCCATTATGGCTCTAGAAAACAAATATAAGGGGGAGAATCTAGAATAAAGAAATGTAACTTGCTATTTTCTCTTTCCATTTCTGGAAAGTTATATTTGTCTTCTTCTGTGGCTCTGTACCATATATATTGTGACTCTTTTGCCCTTTCTTCAACCCAGCCAAGAATTTTCTGAATGCATGGAAGAGAGAAAGAGAGAGAGGGGGGTGGGGCAGGTGGGGGAAGGCAAGCAGGCAGGCAGGCAGGAAGGAAGGAGGGAGGGAGAGAAAGGGAAAGGGAAAGGGAAAGGGAAAAGGAAAGGGAAAGGGGAAGGGGAAGGGGAAGGAAAGGAAAGGAAAGGAAAGGAAAGGAAAGGAAAGGAAAGGAAAGGAAAGGAAGAAAGAAAACTGTTCAATTAAAACTATGTATACTGGCTCAGTAATAATGGAATACTGTATTTTTACTGTGAATAGGCCAATGAATGCACTTTATATTGCAGTTCCCATTCATTTTTACTTATTTTATTGATTCTAATTACAGAATTCTTTCTTAATTCTGATGCAAAATCCATATTCAGCCCTGAACAGGTTAACATTTTTGTTTAGATTATCAACTTTTTTTAATTTTTTTTTATTGGTATAGAGCCAATTTCTAAATATTTGTTATTTGTTTCAAAAACTTAAGATTGTTTTCTCTGTATTGATCACTATATAGTACAAGGGCTTGTTGCCTCAGAAAGGATACTGCCTCATAATTCTGACAAGACTGACAAGTTATTAAAAAAAGGCTGAACTAAGGGCAGTTCAATTTGTCACAAAAGGCTCAAAGTTTAGATAAACCTTCCCTTTTGACATGTTTAAAACAACAACAAGAATTCAACTCATTACTGTTTGTCCCCAGAGGAATGGGAGAACCTAGACCCAGTCATTCATTTTGATTGGATCTTTACATGTCAGAAAAAGAATAATGGACTACAAGTATGACCAGAAGCAAAGCACATCAGAACGCAGCTGTGGTCTAACTCTAAGAAATAAGGGTTAGATTGTGGTAAACATTCTGTTTGTTAATTTCCTGCAAAGCCCTACCCTGATTTGTTTTAATTCAACTAAGATTCATTTAAGTCTAATTAGAAACCTAGCTTTCTAATAAGATAATTGCCATTCCAAATTCTACAAGGATTACAAAACTCTACACCTGTGCAGAACCTAGAAATAATCCTGATGGTAACATTTCCAAGTGTTATGAATGTCACATCAGAGAATCTTTAAAAAGAGACTATAAATTTCACAGCAGGATTGCATTCTTCATCCATCCATCTTCCTCCACCCAAGTCTGGTTTAATTAATCTGTAATCTAGTTCACACATAAAAACTACTTCTAGCTCCACTTCTAGCTTCTAGCTTCCTGAGAAAGAGGGAGCAACCATCAGTTCACTTGGCAACTAAAGATCAAGACGGTTACAAAAACCAATTAATGAAAAGAACACAACTGCAGTTTTGGTGCCTGCAAACAAAAACATGCCGATGCATGGCATGTGTATAGGATAGCAACCTTCGGATGCTTCATCTATTTGTTAGAGCCCCAGGGACAGTTCCATTTGATGGATGACTCTGGAAGATGCTCCTGACCTTATTTGTAGCAGACTAGAACTAATGAAGTCAAGGTGCAAAGAAAATCCCCCAGCAATAGCCTAGATGCTTACAGTGCAAGAAATTCCATATATTCCTTCAGAATATCACCTTATATATATATTCACTGCAAAGAAATCCAATTCACCTCAACCTGACTTGCTTCCAAACAAGTATACTTCAAATGACAGGTGTGTAAAGCAGTTCAAAATCAAAATGTTTCGGGCTCAAAATGTCCCAATTTAAGTTCAAAACAATTTCCCAGCCATTTCAGAAGTATTCAGACCTTTCAATGACCTCATTTCAAGCTCAGAACTGAGGTGTTTTCGTATTTCAAACACTTCCAATAAGGTGAAAAGAGGCAATTCAAACAAATATCATCTCCAGCTCAAAGAATTTAGAATTTGAAACATTTCGTACACCTATAGTTAAAACTGAATCTTCTAAGAATGGGGTTGTATAAATGTATATGCAATGTTTGTTTGCGAAATTGTTATGCATTACAATTACAAAAGTCTAATATCTAATCTCCATTTAAAGCTAATGACCATTGCCTAGAATAATCTTGTCATAAACGTCTCATGCAATGGCTGGAGAAACCATCAATTGTGCTGAAGATCCAAATTTTTGTTCTCAAAACATGGAGAAAGTGGATAGAATTTTTTTCTCTCTTATCCATTAAGTATTCTCAAGGGGTAGGGAGAGGATGAGGGGATAGGAGGCAGAAATACTTTTTTTCCCTCCTATATTCACCAGGCCTTTTTGTCTCTCTCACACATTTAAATAAATATGTACAGCTTTACATTAGAAAACCAGCTAAAAATAATTAATTCTTCTTAGTAGTGATTTTGTCCTGTTTGCCCTCAGAACATATCTTATTGTATTGCACTACAATTGACTTATAACCACATTTCACTTATTTATTTATCAAAGTGAAGCATCTTAAATCTTTCTTTACTAAAGAACAGCTTCTCCTTTTTCTGTGAGATGTTTCGTATGTTTGTTCATCTTAGTTTGGCAAATATTTATTTGGCAAATATTGTCTAAATATTCTCACTGTATATTCATGTAACGTGTATGTTTGTGTGTTTGTTATTAAAAATTGCAATTACACAGATAAAAACTAATACAAAATGAAAGAATAAAAATAAAAAATAAAGTGTAGAAATAAAAACAAAGAAAAGATAAGAGGACTGTAAAGAAAAAGAAAAGAAATATATAAAGAAATTATGCCCCCCTTCCTCATAACCAGTGGTGGGATTCAAATTTTTTTACTACCAGTTCTGTGGGTGTGGCTTGGTGAGCGTGGCAGTAGAAGGACACTGTAAAATCTCCAATCAGAGGTGGTATTGCCGGTTCTCCAAACTACTCAAAATTTCCACTACTGGTTCTCCAGTTGGTCAGAACCTGCTGAATATCACCTCTGCTCATAACTATAAACAATTTTAGTAATTTATCACTTTCTCTTAAAACAGATCAAATTTTCCCTTCTTCCCATATACCATCTGTTATCTATTAACAAATCCTTGAAGCTTCACCATTTTAGTGCTGATCAGCTAAAATCCATTTAGAATTACCAAACATAGCAACACATCTATTTTAACCTTGATGAAATAAACCAACTTTATATCCCTTCCTTTTATTTTTAACAATCTTAATCTTTAATCCCTTCAAATGTCCTACAACTTAAGTTCTGTTCACTTTTTTGTCCCTTTTACAACAGGAAAACTATTCAATACTCTAGATTTGGTATTTATATACCTCTTTTAATTATTAAGATATTTGCTAATTTCGTTTGTAAGCCCAGTGTAGAATCTTTTTCATCTCATTTATTTTTTAAATTCATTTTCAGAGTAGAAAATGAACTTGATTAGAATTTAAACTGGAGACTGATCAAGAACCGTACAACATGTTCCTCTCCCATAACATCTTTTAAACACAGTCTATCTACAGAGGCAGACATTCTTAAAATAAACGTATGGGTCCATTATTCAAAAGTATCCTTCAATATGTCCAACAATAAAATATTTTGCTCCATTCTGTATTAATAAGTCAAAAGTATTTTCCTTCATTTGTAATCTTTAGTTTCTTCTCATTCTCTGTAGCGTCCAATCTTCAGCATCTCATCCTATCGTGTTGAGAATTCAAATCAAAAGCATTTTCCCATGGGTAGGATTCTTATACAGATAGTCCTCAATTTATGTCCCCATAATTTGAGCAAAAAGATGGCTATTCTCACATCTCCCAGAACTCTTAAATTCACGCCTTCTCACAAGGAGTAAATGTATGGAGCATTGTGGGAAATCTCTAGTTTTTTCCTTGTCCGGAGAAGCATTACAAATATCCAGTCTATTCATTGGCATTTTATTTCATCATAATTGTCATATTCAGTTAATAATTTTCTCCCAGAAATCTGCCACTTTGCTTACATGGCAATATCAACCCAGATCAGGTTGCTCTATTTACCAGGTTTTGTTTCCTTTCAAACCTAGGAGAACCATGACTGACCACAAACAGTTCAGCAGACTCTCTAGAAATTATAGCTTGTTCCTGAATTTGTACCAAAACTGTTCTCGGTTTCATGCATGCCTCAATTCACGACTCACTTGTTAATTTAAACTGTTTTCCCCATCAGTTTTTATGCCCTTCTTGCAAATGATTATTAGCACACCATGCCACAGTTCCATTCAGTAGTCAAAAACTTTGATCAAAAGACCATCACAATTCAATATTTAATAATATATAAAAGGATCCTGTTGAGAAGGAAGGAAATGAAAAAAATATAAAAGTTGGGGAAGAAGCTTTTAGATACAGAACATCTGAACAAAGGAGCTATCAGTCATTATATACTGGCAGTCAAACATTGATTTTTCTAGATATTATTGAACTGACATTGTATAATTCAGTGCAATTTTCCTGGGTTTGGAAATGTACAATATGAACCAAGAATCCAAATCCCTAATTCAAAAAACATAGTAGCTCTCTATTAATATTGACATTCATAAAGCAGCACATTTTGTAAAAAGTAACTTCCTTGTAGGAAACAATGCATTTCATTTCTTGTTTAACAAAAGTGTGATATTAAAGACATATCCACTTTAAATAATGCATTTTCCTGCATTATCAATGTATTGCCATCTACAAGAATTAGGCAGGAGAAGTTACACAATAATGCAAGAAATTCAATGTCATTTTAATACTAATATCATTTTAATGCATAGTAAGAAATAAAAAAAAACTTTGATAAGCCAACAATGGTTTAGTAATGAGAGTTCTCACTCCTACTAAATATAGAAAACCCTTTATCAAGCTTTGGCTCATGGAGAAATATTTCCAGCACATTTGTCAGTCCCATTTATTATTGAGAAGTGTATGATGTGAGAAAAACCATTGGGAAATGCATCAGTAAGAGAAATAAAATCTTACTGTGTTTATGGATTTGGTCCAAGTGTGTGATAATATGTATAAACTTGTATTATCAAATATTTGGCTGAAAATGGAACTGAAGGTTGATTGCTGCATGTAGCCAGAGCAACACCTAATGGAAATAAAGCGTGCATGAGAATAAATGGAATGCTTCAAAATGATTCAACAATGAACAAGGATTAAGATAAGAATATTTGATGTCCCCTTGGTTGTTTAATGCATTTTTGGATAAATATATAAGGAACGCTTGTACAAATATAGGAGTGTGTTGATTAAGAGACATGAACATGCACATATTTTTGTATACTACCACTACCTTGTATGGTGAAACTAAATGATCTGTAGGAAACAATAGGCTATATGATGTAATGCAGAGTGAAAATTAATGCATCAAAAAACAAAGATGGTTGAATCTTACAGGGAAAAAGGAAGAAGTGATTGCAAATTATAAAAGGTAAAAACTGAGCAAATTGATGAATCTATGGCTCTTGCTAAGATATTTATTAAAGAAAGGGAAGTGGACAGAAATAATTTAAGAACAGCAAATGCTGATAATGGGTAGTATATGGTCTATTCCAAGGAATGAACATTGCAATAAGCCAGAATGGCAGAGTATAACAGCATGCTTCTGTCTACTTTGTTAGGTGAGAGTTGGGTATTTTAGAAAAAAAAATGGATGCAGTGGAAATTGGGACATTTAATAAGTGGATATGGTAAAACAAGAATATGATCAAAAGTGAATGGATGCTAAATGAATATATAAATAAATACACTGAGATGATCTGTTTCATATATTGAATGGGACTAAATAGCAGAATGGATGGAATGAAATCAAGAGAAAGAAGAGAATGTAAAGAGGAAAAAAAAGCAATACGTGAGGTGGTGTATTAATGTAATGAAAATAAATATGGTTTGCAAGACAGATGTGGAGCAGCACAGTGAACAGTGTTGGTATGAAGTAGTATATAGTAAATTGTAATGGTGTACGTTTGCTTCATTTTCTTATTTTATGTCTTTCATTTATTTGATTTAATATCTCTTATTCATTTCTGTGTTGGGCATAATAACACTGGAAGAAATACTACAAGAATCCATGACTCTTCCAAAAGCAAGAGAGGTTGAGGCTTGCTTCAGACATAATCTATGAAGCAATTTCTATGCTAGACACATGCTTTATGTGAATTAGCCCTAAACTCAAATGTGTGAAATTAAATGCAGACAAGCTATATTATGTAAGTGCAATATTATATATAGCAATTATCCCAACACATATCCTGCTACTCACTTTGACTAGCTTGTGCTTCATTTCTCCAGGCGGCACTAGAAAGAAGAAAGAAAATATTTAAAAAATATAATTGTCTTTGCAAGGCAAAATAGTAACAGAAAGCAGCAACAGATTCCACAAAACTGTTTTCACTCCACAAACTACGTTTTTGTGGCCAGGAAGTCTGAAAGAATCTAATGCATATTGGAGTTCAGTGACACTTACAGTTTCAACAGCTGACGGTCTGCAAGATTATTTCTTTTGCTCAGTAATTGCAAATGTCTCTTGTTCATTGAGAGTGACAAGTTGCTTTTATCTGCCTTCATCTAGCAGTGCAATATTGTAGCTGAGAAATCAGGGTTATGCTGTGACAAACAATCACTCAGAAAGGAAGGGCAACTTGGCAACGGCATGAAATCTAAATAACTATGGCCAATTTACTATAAAAATCATATCCAGTTGCTCAAGCATGGCTACATGACCTTAATTCGAGAAATATAGAATCTTATAATAAACTGTGCTTGCTGCAAACATTGGCTGCTTTTTGACACCATGGGTCTAGATCAAGGGTCAAACTTGTGGTGTCACAGTGGCATTACATAATGTATTGGGACTTTTTTCTCCTTTGCTAAACCGGATGTGGGCGTGGCCAGCATATGACGCATCTGACCCACAGGCCGCGAGTGTGACAGCTCTGGCCTAAACAGTTGTGTAGCAACTAGTCAAGTCATAATTCAGAGTTACAAGCATGAGATTTGTCTGTTTACAACATATTTTTACTTGAAGTTAAAAGAGTCATCAAACTATATGTACCAATAACAACTCCCAAAACCAGAAAAAACAGATTACCCATAACAATAAGGAAGCTTCAATCAAAAAAGAGATTGCTTTGGCAGAAAAACAAATCTGGTCATGTTGCGAAAGGCCGATACAAAAATTTATGCCACCAGGTAAAGACTGGATGCACCAATTATCACATTAAACAAGAGGAAAACCTACAATTTTGTAAACAACAAACTAAAAGACTAAAGGTCCATCCCACCCCCGAAAGGACCTAATGGTAAAGACTGCAATGATGACACCATTAAAGCCAACCTCTTTAACACATTCTTTGGCTCAGTATTGTAAACAGCAATGGATCATGCCAGGATTTCTTAGTCAAACCACAGACAACTTCAATGATCTAATACATATCAATTTTACAGAAGACAATGTTGAAAAAGCACTACACAATCTAAAACCATCTCTATCTATTGGACCAGATGGAATATGTGCCTACTTCTTAAAAAAGCTATCCACTGCCATAGCCAAACCTCTAAGCATTATCTTTGAAAAATCTTTCAGGACCAGCTCCTTGCTCCTATGGTCACAAGCCAAGGTCATCCCCATCTTCAAAAAGGGGGACCCCAGCCTAGTTGAAAATTACAGACCAATCTTTTTATGCTGCATCACCTGTAAAGTCATGGAATCAATTATTAACCAATCCATTATCTTCCACTTAGAGACAAACAACCTACTCTCTAATAAACAATTTGGTTTCAGAAAAATGCTATCCTGTAATCTGCAACTCTTAGTTTGTGGTACACGACAAACTACTCCTAAAACTAAAATCTTATGGTATCTCTGGACACCTGCATAACTGGATAGAAGCATTCCTGTCAAACAGACAACAAATGGTCAAAATTGGGAGCGTCCTATCAAATTCTGTACCTGTCAACAGTGGTGTCCCCCAAGGCAGTGTTCTAGGACCAACTCTCTTCATACTCTACATAAATGACCTCTGTGACCATATTAAGAGCAACTGTGTTCTCTTCACTGATGATGTGAAGCTATTCAACACCACAAATACTGCTACCCTTCAAAAAGACCTCGATTATGTATCAGAATGGTTAAACAAATGGCAACTTCAAATCTCAACAAATAAATGCTCTGTCTTACATGTTGGCAAAAAAAATCAGAAAATAAAATACAAGCTGAATAGTCAAGACCTTGTTGATGATCCATAGTCTGTCAGGGACCTTGGAGTACCCATCTCTAATGATCTAAGTGCTAGAGCCCACTGAAACTACATAGCCAAAAAGGCATTAAGAGTTGTTAACCTAATCTTACGTAGCTTTTTCTCTGGGAATATCACACTACTAACTAGAGCATACAAAACATTTGCTAGACCAATACTCGAATACAGCTCATCAGTCTGGAACCCACATTACGTATCTGATATTAGCACAGTTGAGAAAGTCCAGAAATATTTCACAAGAAGAGTTCTCTATTGCTCTACTTGTTGCAGAATACCTTATGCCACCAGACTTGAAATTCTAGACCTAGAAAACCTAGAACTACTCTGCCTTCGGTCCGATCTAAGTAGAGTATATAAAATCATACATTGCAACCATAACAATACAAGAGCACACAATAGATACAAACTCAAGGTTAACTGCACCAAACTTGATTGCAGGAAATATGACTTCAGCAACAGAGTGGTCAATGTCTGGAATACTCTACCTGACTCCATGGTTTCTTCCCCAAACCCCAAAAACTTTAACCTTAGACTGTCTACTATTAACTTCACCCCTTTCCTAAGAGGTCTGTAGGGGGCATGCATAAGCGCACCAAAGTGCCTACCGTCCCTGTCCTATTGATTCTTTTTATTTTTCTTATATGTATCCATTTCATGTATTCATAACTATGTTTATACTTATACCTATTATCTTGTAAGCAATTGACAAATCTAAATAAATAAATAAATAAATAAATAAACTTCAGCTCAGACTGTTAAAAATCAGTAAGGGATGTTTTTACTTGTTTTCATTTTCCAGAGATGCCATAACAATTGCTTAACCAATCAAATCTCAGTTAACTTTTTAAAGTCATGGTCTATCATGAACCTCAAACTGAACTTTGTTTGTGTCCAAAGTTATAAACCTGAATCATACACATTTTCCAAGATTATCTTGGTTACAAGATTTTTAAGATTCTGGTGAAATCCTTCTGGAAAGAGAGGCAGAATTTCTTCTTGCGACGTTAGGCCATGGTAAACAATGTGCCTTGTAAGGCTATGCAAAGACTGGATTAACTGCAAGAAAAATGACAGAGATAAAGGGTTTCACATTGCATTTAAGAAAACATTTCTTCTTTTGCCTTATATGCATTTTTTAAAGAAACAAAACACATCAATTTATATAATCTATGTCTGTCCAGTTCCCTACTAGGCTTTTATTCTTTATCCTTGCTTTATTATTATTTTACACAAAAATGACAGTATACACAGCAAATGAGATAACTATGCTGGGTTTTGTATCACAAATCACTAGTCAAACACTTCACAAGTGTTTAGGACTGCTTGATGTATCGGCAGATTATGCGAGCAGATCCCAGTAAGGTGGCCTTCTGCAGCTGACTAATGGTGATTTTGTCAGCGCCAATTGTTTTTAAGTGCTTGCCTAGGTCTTTAGGTACAGCACGGGGTGCTACCTTGACATGGCGGGGGGCTTAACTGCTCCAATGAAGCTGAGAGCTGTGCTGGTGGTAGTGCAAAATACCAGCAGGTCCAACCATGCCAGAGAGGTCTCGGCCGAGGAGCAGAACTGAGTGCACCCAACAACCCATGCAATGAATCATGGTGAAACACAACCAAATAAAGCCTATACCAGCTCAGTCATCGCCCGGGTTAACAAGGACTGCATTGAATGTTGGGGAACTTGGGCATCTGTTGACAAGTGGGCTACAGGCCATGGGTCCCACAGCTGAGCAACCAGGGCATGGGCCTGCAGGGCTACTGGAAGCTGAACAACCTCAGAAGTGGCAGAAATACACTATGTCAGAGAACTGCACTGTAATGAAATTATTATTGTTGTTGTTGTTATTGTTATTTAACTTGGGGTGCTTCTCATTTACTTCAGAAGTACTGAAACAAATACTGTAAACAAATGCTTTTTTTCTGTATAATACTCTGTACCCTTAAGTATTCATAGAATCTTGAACGTATTTCAGCATCTTACCTGATTTGCTTCATTGGGAGTTACTGAGAGATTGGAACAGGTACTTTCAGTGAGCTTTTCAGATATAATTCCTGAACTAGAAAAGCACTCTTGGCATAACTGCCGAACAACATTCTTTGAAGGAGCCTTTGAAGGAGAGAAACAAATAGTGATCCTTCACACACACAAAAAAATAGTGCAGCAAGTACTAGAAACCTAAATGCGTAGCCACATCAGCTCCTTCATATGAAATAGAAGAAAAAAGAATTGAACTTTGTAAGGTTTTGAATCTAGAGCTTTCTTTCTGAAACACTGTGATCAAGAATAGAAGATACAAATAAGAGTAATACGAAAAAGCCAAGGCAAAGAAGAATAAACTAGAAATAGTGCATCTAAGAAATGGTATAGGAAGAGCGGAGATGCAGTCAGCTGTCAAAAATCTTAACCTACACAAAGGGTGATGATGTATAACATATTGATGCATCCTGAAGCATCTAGTAACTTGTATTTGGATATAATAAATTTGTAGTTCTTAACTGGAAGAGTGAACAAATAATATTTTTTGAAGGGAGGGGAAAATTGGATGTTGGAGAGGAAAAAGGACCAGGTTTGCTTTTGCCTTGTTCCTCATTATTTGTCTCATGGCGTTTAGATAATAAGTCCGATGAAAACCTGTTATATTTTTAATTAATGTGTTAGCTATTGACGGAACGTTTTGAGTGTAGATTTATAAATGCCTAAAAGAAGGGAAAATGCTTTCTTTTATACCCAGGTCCCTGTCTCACCTGACAACTGTGAAAGGGGGATTAAAACTAGACATTACTTTGTTAACAATAAGCACGGATACAAATCATAAGCATGAGCATTTCTGTGCCCTGCCACTTAAATGTGTTTTAGAGCAAAACGACTGCAGCTGATCGCTGTTCCGCGGCATCCTGCTTTCCCCATATTAAAATAAGCACACACTTACTTTCAGTAAGAACTGAAGCGAAGCAAACACTTCCCTATCCAATGCAGCCATATTTCCCTTCCCATGTGATTAGATACGAAATATCATTGGAAGAAGAGGTCACGTGGCAAGGTCTGAGGTTGCTTTGCAGTCTGGGAGTTGTAGTTTAATACTAAGTGGCTTAGATTAGAAAGTGACTTAAAGCTGCTGGATGAATGAATTGAGTTTGCAGTGCAATTCGAGGAAGGAGACGACGTGCTAGTGCCCTCTCACTGACTGAACTGCCCCAAATCTTAGACGACTGTTTGTGGGGGCTGAAGAAAATTGTAATGCAAGCAACCGAAGGGAATTGATTGCTTACATTTCAGAGTTATTCTTTGGATGGCCGATTTGTTTTAAATATGCATCCATTTATACTGTATGCTTTCATTCTGAGGGACGTTCCAAGAATTCAGATCAACCTTAGATGGCAGCGGAGAGGTGTTCTGCATCTCTTTGCTGCTGTCTGAAGATGTCTGAATTTTTGCAGTCCCAGATCTTATATCCAGCCTTACTCTGTATTCTGTTTAATAAATACTTGAATCAGAAATCAGAATCAGAACTAGTTAGGCTAGGAAAATCAATACTACTTAATTTAAAGGTCACAAATCTGTATAGCCCTCTAGGTGTCAGTGGTAAAGAAAAGGCAATTGCAAAAGCACTTGATGTTTCTGAGACTACTGTATATGCACCAGTACTGCACATCCCCCTCAATCCACAGGGTGGGCTTTTCTACATAGACAAAGTTGCTATGGCCATGACTACGATGGAGTGTCTCGGTCCTAACTAAGTAATATGAAAAAGTGCTGTAGCCTCTCTCTCTCTCTCTCTCTCTCTGTGCGCGTGTTCTTGCATGCATACATAAACGCATGCTCACAAGGCCAGTGCCTATTTTTGAAGGTTCCCTAATGTTAATGCTATATTAGTCCTCAGTATTCAGAATAGGTATTGCAGCCATGATTACTATGGCTACCATTCTCTGTACCTTATTGTGAATGAGAACCAATCTGAAAAGAAATGCTAAACTCTCTGTGTATTCAATTACTTTTACATACTTGAAGAAGTGGAATTGTAAATGCCTTCAAGGGTAATTGGTATGTCCAGCCCTGGCAATGCAATTGATTATGTGACCTCTTTCAACACCGGCTCCTTGAAAGTTCTTCCTTAGCTCACATTACATACAGCAGCATTATTTTGTTTTGTGGCATAATAAGATATGTCAGGAAGCATCTTCACACCACAGTCTGTAATATGTGAAATGACTTGGAATCACCTTAAAAATTGGTGATAGTCATATTTTATGTTCTTTCTGATGTGCTAGTTTTATATTGAGGATTTATAAAATCCTCTTAAAGGACTGGAGGATTTTACTGTCAAAATGTTTTTCATTTATCTTTGGGAAAATACATTTTTGGGACACTTTTTTTTTCTTTTGTGCTAATTAAAATATTCTCCAATAAAAAACAGGGAAAAGCTAGCCCTTAAACTTTTTCAAAAAGAGCAAGAATTAGAAAAGTGACATTGGAATGGTATAGATTTATACCACATATAAATCTATGGCTTATTTTTATGCATAAAATATGTTTGAAAAGAGTGAGAGAACAGGCATTAAAAATATGAAATTTTCTGATATTGATCTTATGTATTATATACTTCAATATAAAAATTTTAATCTACAGATTCTAGAATACAGAACAGAAATTTCCAATGTAAGAGAAGCTTTGAACCTGATTTATGTGAACAAAAATGTCTCATGTTATACTTATTTCATCATGTCTTGGCATCAGCACCTTATACATTTTAAAGTTTTCTTTATCTATGCAGAATGTATTTTTGAAATTATTCACATGCAAGTTTATTTGTGGCTTTCCCCTGAAATAAATCAAGAATGCAGTTAGTTCAAAAACTACCTAAAGGACTGGGCTCCCCTTTGTTAAAATACTGTTTTAAATTTAGTCCCTTTGCAAGAAAAAAAGAACACCCAGATTATAGTTCTCTTTCCATTTTTTAAAAAATGAGCTGTATAATGTGGGATTCTTTTTTTATAATTTTGGGCATCTTGAAATTCATTAAGATTGATCCACTGTGAAAGATTACTTGTATAGATTTCTTTTGGATATTAAACAGACTGCTACGGAGATTATGTAAAGGAAGGCAAGCATTTTTAAGGAGCTGCCATGCGCTATATTTGCTAGACACCTAATTGAGTTAAAATTGATTGGTAGGTGTACTAGCTTTTTCATTTCCAAATTAAAATAGCTTGGTTTGTATTCAACGGTGTCATTGGCTAAGGAAGGGGTCTCCAAACTTGGCAACTTTAAGACTTACTGGCTGGAAAATTCTGGGAGTTGATGTCCACAAGTCTTAAAGTTGCCACGTTTGGAGACTTCTGGGCTAAGGCAATTCTGTTGAGGAAATTATTATTATTTTTTCACCTGGGGACTGGAAAGAGAAATCCTCTGAAAAAGATCTAGGGTCTATGTGACTGAGATAACTGGTGGAAAGCACCAACATGCTTGTGGAATACCACCCTTATAATACTTGATGGCAACATTTATGTGGTACATTTTCATAGCTTAAATGCACGATTTATTAATTTTCTGAGCTAGACGCTATACATTATCTCAAGACTCCACATGGTTCTCTGTCTGAAAAAACAACAATGCTCCAAACCTTTGGGCTAAAAGATAAATTCCTTGATTGCATTCAGGCAGGACAAGAAAATATATATTTAATGCTTATAGCATATTTGTATTGGTTGTTCTGCCACAGAAGTTCAAAATGTCCTTCAGGGACCTAGTAGACATTCTGATTTCTTTTTTTAAAAAAAACAGTTAACTAAAGCAAGTTCCAAGATGCTAAAATGTATCTAAAAAAATGCCCCACTAGATACTTATTTAACTTTAGGGTTCATTATACTTGTGCAGATGTATCAATTATATTTCTATACCCACTGTTGGAAGTTAAAACCCACCCCTCTCCTAGAAAAATGAAATATTTTAGGATATACTAAAAAGGCAGAATATTTCCTCTAAAAGAGAAGTAGAAACTCAGAGAGGCAGCCCCTCAGCCCCTCCCACCTTTGTTAATGGGCCATTAAAGCCTGGGCCAGTCTATTCTACATAACAAAGATCTACCTCCTTCAGGCAGAGCCATTTCCCTTCATTGCACCACCCACCAAGTTTCAATCAAGCTTAGCACACAGACAATCTACAAAGTTACCCTTACATCACCCCATGGGAGTCTGACAACCAATCAGGATACACTTCTTGCCATAGGAACAGGAAGCAAGTTCAAAGCCCAACAGAGGACATAAATATATCTCACTCTCCACTCCATATGGTCAGCTACCCATAATCACACATGCTTGGTGGTTCTGCTTCACCATTAAACCATCCTTCCAAGCAACTCCATGTTTCCAGTGTCTTTCTTCCCACTTGGAACGGAACTCAGATGGACATTTCTTCCAACACCACTCATACAAAAGAGTTTTCTTCTCTCTTCCACCCACATAAACTGCTCATTACTATGGTATCCTCATTTGGAAAACAGTGTTTTTTTCAGCTTCATTTTTTGGAAAAGAAAATAAAAGCCATTAAATGTTGATAACAAACAGGATTTATGAGTGTAAAATGCATGCAAAGCTACCTAGCCAGCTTCTGCCTTGTTCTTGGAGTAATGGCTCAAGTATTTGATTGTGGTGTAGCTATTCTGAGTTTATGGGTGAATGACAAGTTGGATTCTAACCAAGGCTGGGATTCAAATTTTTTAACAACCGGTTCTGTGGGTGTGGCTTAGGTGCTGGGTGTGGCTTGGTGGTCATGTGACTGGGTAGACATGGCTTGGTGGTCATGTTATTGGCTGGGCATGGCCAACTGAATATCACTCACATCGAGGCATGCATCTCCTCGCCTGGCCTCTCATGACTATGGGGATGCCGCAACAGTCGTAAGTGTGAAAAATGGTCATAAGTCACTTTTTTCAGTGCCATTGTAACTTTAAATGGTCATTCCACACAAGCAAAGTACCAGCAAAGGAGGGGAAAAAAACTCCAGAGATGTTCCTGAGACAGGAAGTTTAGTCCTGCCAAGAATGTTATAAGGTTTAACGGAGAGGCAGTTTTTGTAAGCAACACTAGAATGTTTCCTTCCTGCCTTCCTTAGGCCAGTAATTTCTTCTAACAACTGGTTCTCCAAACTCCTTAGAATGTAAACAACCGGTTCTAGCAAATAGGTGCAAACTGGTAGAATCCCACCCCTGACTCTAACTTTGAAGCAAGTCCCATGCAGATAACTGAAGCTCAGTCTAGCTTGGTTATCTGGGAAGAATGTGACCCATTTACTTCCAAAGTAGTGGACAGGATTTTTAGAAGTGCTAGTTTGTCATATGAGATCCAACTCTCCCGGACTAGCTAAAGTTTCACAAGAGGTGACATGTGGTTGGGTTGTGGCAATGGTCAATTCTTCCTTAAGAGAAAAGGAGTCTTCCTTTCCTTTTAATATAACATAGTTGAAAAGGTAGGTATACTTCTACTCCAAATAACTTTGCATATGGGAGATTAGATAAATGGATTTTATACTAGAGCATGGGATTGAAAAGAACTTGGTTACACTTATAGATTACATCTGGAAGGACCTCTGGAAGAAGTGGTGCATCCATGCTTGCCCTCTTCGTTTTCTCCGTGTACTATCAATTGTGTTATTTAATGAATTTGTTATTGAACTCTTTGCACATGCATATTACGAGACACTAATTGTGGGAAAATTGGCTATGACAGTGCATCTGTTTAGAAAATTGATTAAATAGAAAAGCTCTCTGTCCTAAAGTCACTGAAGATCTTTCAAACTGATTTGAAATGAGCAATCTAAAATGTAGCTTTTGATTGACTGATCGTATTAGTGAATGCCACATACAGTGAATGCCACAGTCATAAATGAACTCATTGTATGCTATGGCATAGTTTTGCTGAAAATTGGAAATAAGTGCCGGTTTTTGGCAAAACTGTTGTAAAACGTGGTCACATGACCTCGGGATACTGCATGCAGCTGTCAATGCAGCCATGTTGCTAAGTGCCCGA